AGCCAGCCAGGACCTTAAAACAAGATGTCAAACAAAATGCTTGTTTACACTAATAATTGGCTGGTTTAAAGTCAAGTGCTCTAACTTTCATTTAATAAATCAACTTATAACTCGGTACTGTTTCATTATAGCAAATAACACTTCTTCCCTGTATTTTAGTCCATTATTTTGTTTCAAATTAACTTCTTTTTCTAGACTATCGAGGTGAATATGCTGTTATCGTCATGCTTTGTCTGAAATCACTATCTAGGTGAATATGCTGTTATCGTCATGCTTAAGCAGCTGATCCCAACTGTCTGTGCTGCAAACTTTCCTACAACGCAGACAACAGAATACTTCAACTTAACAAGCATGAGAGTCTAACCTTAATCATACCCACAAGTGTATACTCCATTTTTAAGTTCCATGAGCTTTCCATCAATTATATGTGTCTGTATGAGGAGATATGCTTGCATATGTAATAGAAACAGGTCTATATGTGTGTGTATGAGGAGATATGCTTGCATATGTAATGCATACAACTTAAAGCAATAATCATCATGTCATTATTTTTAAATTCCTGTTTTCAAAATGTACTATCCAGGGATTTGGATAACATATTGCACACTGTTACTTAGACACTGTATATATATATGCACAAAGGGCTAATGTTTGGAATTAGCAGATTGTTGATTGGAAACAGATCTCGTGTACCACAGCCTTACATAATATGGCACAACAAATCACATCAATGGTGACACACACTTAAGGATGTCCGCTCGTGTATCACAGCCTCACATAATATGGCACAACAAATCACAGCAATGGTGACACACACTTAAGGATGTCCTTAGGATGGACTGTGATTCTATGCAGTTAGCACCATATAAAATTATTGTGCATGTTCAGGAGAAAGAAAATTCAAAAAAAATCCTATAGAACTTTGTGAGCACTGAAGAGTAATATAGGATATATACCAGTTACTTTATACAACAAAACAGAAAACAGGGAAACTGAGACTATTACATAAAACATACAAAGAATTGGATTGCTGAAACCTAACTTCAGAAACAGTATGAATAAAGCAAGTGTTAGGATGAGAACTTGCTTGCAAAAAGAAAATAATTCTAATTGTGACATGGGAGGTGGTCATAGATGTTGAGCTGTTTACTTTGTACCATATGAAGGCTGCTGCAACAGAACACTGGAGTCCTAAGGAAGGAAAAAGGGACCAAAGCCAAGAGAAACTCAATTTTAGGTTTTAATTCTTTTCTGTCTGAGCAGGTTTCTACTGCATATAACACCAAAGGAATGAATGATACAGATACTTCCATCTCTTCTGGAAATGCACTGCTGAGCTGCAGGGGGAGTGCCAGGCACATGATACACTTCATGTTACATGGAACAGACTGGGTAGTTTTGCCAAACTATGTACTCACTACCGAAAGATGAACAGGTAAAGAATATGGGATAGTCTTTTTTCACTTTTTTTGAGAGGATTATTGAAATGTCACTTCTTTCTTATACCTGTAATTTAAAAAGCTGTTATTCACTTTTTTTGAGAGGATTATCGAAATGTCACTTCTTTCCTATACCTGTAATTTAAAAAGCTGTTATTGCTATATTGGTTTTCTTCACTGGACTAAAAACTAATCGGATCAAGAGGAATTCACAAAACCAATTACTGCATCAAAATCAACTTTGTCTCCAAATAAGCTATATAGTCATTAGCAGCTAATGAGCTGCCTCTTCTAATGTAAGTATTGTACTAACAGATGAGAACAAAAATTATCTGACAAAATTTGCCATTTCATTTCCCATAGCAACACATCTCTGAAAAAATGCAGACAATTGCCAAAAAAGTGTTTCAAACATTCACAGTATTATTCAGTGCTCAAACTCTCAGGTCTCAGCTCTTTTCCAATAGACCTTTTGTTTTCCTTTTTTTTTTTTTAATAACCTAGGTTTCTCTAGATGATTTGGTCCTTGACAGTGGCAGAAGCAGCAAAGCAACCAGGGAGTCCTCATTAAAAAAGGAAAACCTTGGACCTCTTGGCTTTTTACATTCCAGAAACAGAGAAGGGGAAAAAAAATAAACAGAAAAGGAGGAGAAGGAATTCAGATAGCAGTGCCAATTTAAATCCTTTCCTTAATTGCAGTGCAGTCATCCACAACATGCCATGCTTTAAGATGACAGCAGAGAGGGTGTCAAAGCTCCTGGAGTCATGTGGAGTTTGGTGCAGTTTCTCACTTCTAACCATATTAGTGATGAGTGCTGAACCTTAATTTTTGAGTGCCCATCATCGGATAATTATATGAGACTGTGTCACCTCTGTTCATTGTTTCAGGAAGACAGAATTCAGTAAACATCATCAGTTAATGTTATCTTTCATGAGACTGTGTCACCTCTGTTCATTGCTTCAGGAAGACAGAATTCCGTAAACATCATCAGTTAATGTTATCTTTAAGCCAATGGACACCTACCTTCTTCATTGCATGGTTTACTAATTAACCACAAGACAGATATAAAGAGATCCCTAACAGATTTTGACCACTTATTATAAGTGATTAAAACCTGAAGAAAATTTTCTTCAAGTATCAGAGCTATTAGCCTTCAAGCCAAATCAGATCATTATCTTCTGATGATCATAAACTCCTGACTAATAACTTTGTGTCACAGCAGCAGGCACTACAGGTGAAGTGAAGTCTGCCTGGCTCACTGCCAGCCTCACAAGATGGTTACACTGTTGGCAAAATACAGTTTTACTTGCTGGCAATACCCTGTAGTCCTGTCATTTGAGCAACACATGCCCACTGATTAATATTAAAGACTTATCTGCATCTGACATTGTCTCTCATCTTCAAATATGACCAGAGCATACTTTTCACAGAAACATAAGCAGCAGTTACTCTTCATGAATATAAAAAGCAAAATATTTGGTTTTCTTACAAGCATCTATCACAGATTTATGCCAAAATCAAAATTAAGTTTTTACTCCAGCTTTTGTTTATTAGGTTCCTTCTTCCCTTAATTATTAAAGAAAGACTGTATTGGAGAAAGAAGGAAAAAAGTGGTGGGGGATGGGAGAGAAGCACAGGGAGAGGCTTATTCTAATTAAACCATGGCTTTACTTTCTCCTGTTTGCAATGTTAAAAATATTTTTAAGCAAAAAAGCCCCCCCCCCCAAAAAACAAACCCAAACCAAAAAATAAATCCAAACAAAACCAGCAAAAAACCCTCAACAAACTCATTAGGGCTTTGATGTTTGTTTAAACAGTATCCAGCATTTAGAAATGTAAATAAATCTAAGGAAAGTCCTTGTCAGAACTGATCAGCAACTCTCAATGAACTTGTTCTGGACAGTAACAGTATGTCACCACAAGAATTATCATCACTGTTCCTGGTGACAGAAATGTTAAATAAATAAATGACTAAATCTGTTTTGACACAGGCTAACAACTTCATAAACATGGATAAAACTTTGCTATTCATAACACTTCACATTCCATCCTCATTTAACAGCAACAAGCAATCTTGAAATATTTCCTTTTGAGACTTCTGATATCTGGCACGAATGTTCACCTAAAATAGCACACTACAAAAGTCAAGAAATGCTTACATGGCAAGATATTTCCGTTTTCAAAAGGAATGCACTTTTTAATAAAAAATCTGGGGGAAAAACATCCTACAAAAAAACAGCCTGGTTTTACAAGCTGTGTTGGCAAAGAGCTCAGTACAACAAATACTACAGACAGCCACAGTCAATACGGTTCGTATGCGGTTAGAGGGAGCTACAAAAGCACAGAGAATGCTTAATCTCTACTAATACTGGTGCAAGATGGAGGTAGCTCTATTAAAATGCATGATATACCAGCATGAAATAACAGAACAAGTTTCAGTTTGAACTAACTACGGGAAAAGTGTGACTGGGACAACTGCAGGTATGATTATGAAACACTTTTTTCCTATAGATATATAGGTATACAAACCCCAACAACTTACCTGTCTCTTGTCATCCGGTGCTTTAAGGAAGAGTGCATTTATTACTGCAATGGTATACGTCTGGATTTCTTGGTCTGTCCTGTTTGGAACAATGTTACAAACACGAGATAAGAATGCAAATGCACATGAGCTTTAGAAATTAATCCTTCAGTTGCATTGCTGCAGGTAGAAGTAAAGAAATTGATTGCACTTCATGTTAGCTGTGTTTGTTAGATAATGAAGTCAGTCATGACCAGGCTGTCTTTATTACTGGGAGAGACAAGATATCCCAGAGGGAGACTCAGGATTTAAGAAAGGTGGAATGAACTGCCCCCTTGAACTGCCATTAATCCTCCACTGATCATAGGAGGAGCACAACAATCAGCTTCTGCCAGATACACAGCAGCTGAAAAGGAATCTTCCCTAAAGTGTTCTGGAGATGAACTTGATGGTATTAAAAACTTTGCAGGTGAGTTGAGAATGTCCCAGCTAGGAGACAAACAAATATATAACATGTACAGTACAATACACTATGATGCAAGAGGCAGTTTCCATCCATTTAACGACTGCACATTGCTAGTTAAGAAGAAGCTCCTCCCTTTTCAAACATACCTTCAGCAAAAGTTGAGCTATTTTTGTCTTACACACTTCCCAGAGGCTGACAAGCAAAGCAACCCCATCTGTATGCTAATGGCATTAAGCACTTTATTACTACAGGGTGCTCTTCTCCTCATTCCCCACTTCCAACCACATAGGCAGCTTATAAAGACAAAAATTTAAAAAAAAATTTTAAAAAGCCAAACAAAGAAAACTCCACAAACCAACGACCAAGCAACTCCAGAAATCTGGTTACCAGTTATCTAGCCACTTGTAGTGGATGCAGAAATCATGGAGGAGGTGCCAGTCTTTATACCACTGTTTTCTCCAAATGCTGTGCTCATTTTGGGGGAAAAAAAAATTACTCCACCATATCAAGTGGCAGTTGAAGACACTCACCCCTGCAGATGTGGGATTAGCTGCCCAATTGTGATCTCCTGTGCCACCTTCTGGTACAGGTCATGGCTATTGAGCACCATCGATTCCAGAATTGCTAATGACCGTTGCAAGATAGAGATGTCCGAGGCAAATTTGTTCACATAGCTTGCTATCTACAAACACAATGATTCAGAGAATTTACATCTTGTTATGGAAACAGGGAACGGTAAGAAAGAAAACTGTGGACGTGAATCAGAAAGGCATTAGAAAAAAAAGCAGTATTGTCCATATACCAGGTATCAGCAAGTACCTGAAAGCCATCAACAAGGCACTGCAGATACCATCAAAAGACATAGTGGTACAAGTTCTTCAGCTGGCACAAATCACCATAGATTTATGTCAATACTCATATGACCAAAATGTATTCTTCAACATAATACTATGAACATGATAAATCAACATTAAAAAATAGAACAATTATATTTTTTTGCGTGAAAAACCTTGGAAAGGACAAGAAGAATACTTCTCATTCTCTCCAGTAGAAATCCGTGCATCCAGTTTTCTCTAAATAAATCTCTAGGCTCAAGGCAAAAGAGAAATGTAAATCTAGCTTCCTGGCAAAACACACTCTAGAAAAACATGCTTTTTTTTTTTTCTCCTTGCTGTTAGCAACAATACTGAATGCTCTTTCCAGGTTACAAATTAAAACTGTTGATGATCATTTATCAGGACAACTGGTTCCATAACTCTGCCTGGAGTGCAGTCTTGCATTAATAACCTTCACTTTTACTGCAAGCTGCCACAAAGAAATGGCACGTTAATTAAAACCAGGTCTGACCTCTGCTGTTTTGCAATGTGGTGATGACATGCAGCACACTCATCCACAGAGCCAACACAGCTGTGCAGTAAGATGTGGCAACCTGTGTTCTTCCACATGCTGCCCAGTCCACAGACTCAGCTTCCCAGGAATAAACCTGCCTTCTACTGAGAACTGCCTGAGTTTTCCTTGAATACACCAATACCAGCACAATCAAGATGAAAGGCACACAAGAAAGCACAGCACAGACAGAAAAAATCTTGTGTGACTACAGTTATTTGATTTTTACAGCCAAGTAACAGACTACAATGACCCTGTCTCAAGTTTGATATGTTACTTCCAGAAAACTTTAAGTCCACACGCTTCTTCAGTACTCATGCCACAAGCCACTAATGTGGTTATACATTTTCAAGTCCACACGCTCCTTCAATACTCATGCTACAAGCCACTAATGTGGTTATACATTTTCTAACTCTGGATGCTTGCTTAGGCCTAGAAACCATTTTCCTTTAGGAGGAAAAGGCAACTTAGGAACCATTTTCCTTTAGGAGGAAAAGGCATTCCCCATGTTTGGAAAAGCTGTCCTGCTGCTCATAAAATTCACAGCTAAATGCTGACACACGGACAAGAGTATTGTTTTGTACTTGGGACACTTCGACTAGTACTG